GGGATCAGCTCGGCCTGGCTAAAGGGCAATTCCGGCAGGGGCAGATCAGGACCCCCGAGTGATGGAGCCCCCCCACAGGAAAGCACCGAGCCAAAGGAGGAGAGAGATAGAGCAGGGCAGTAATTAGCACGAGAAGTGAGAGAGTCGTTAACTCATTAAGAAGAAAGAATACTAATTAATAAGAGAACTACGTAATCAGTAGCCAATGAACGTTCATGCCTTTCTTTGCTAAAGTATAAAATAGGAAGAAGTATGGATAGTTGGGCTGCTTGATTTGTGGAACACCACCGAGCATGAGGCTTGGCAGCTCTGACATAAACAATTAATAGCTCTCTCAAGTGTGCATTTACTGGATTCAATTTGTCGGGACAACAGTGCCATTCCTAGAATTTATGTTAAAAATGGGCATTTCTCTGCATCTCTTGACACATTTTCTGTATTTTCTGAGGCATTTTCAGGCAGACTGAGGCAGAAGCCCTGAAGGCACCTGCAGTCAGGAAAATGTGGTAGCATACATTACCACATGCAGAGATGTGCAGAGATGTTGCACATTATTGCAGTTATTCCTGCTTATGGAAACAAGAACATGTGAAATCTGATGTGCTTCTGTTATGAAGAGCTTTCCATACAGGATCAGCATTGGTTGAACCCTGACAGTGTACAAAAAAGGAGAAAACTTCCACATCTTAAAAAAGTACAACATTTCTGACACTAAGTTTCAATAACAAAAGAGAGATCCTGAAATACCTGCATCATTCACACTGATTTGTTAGTCTGTATAAAGTCCATTATCCTTTTGATATGCCTCTCTTCAGTAACTTTAGTTTTCTGTGTATCTGCTGGAATGATGTACCCAGCAGTGCATTATTATATGGAGTGGTTTACATCTTGCAGGTGATGTATAACAAAACAGTGCTTCCTCTTTCGTTTCCCACACACAGCATCTCCAGCAAAGTTCATTTTACAGACTTTGTGTTTGCTGTGCCACAATAAATCCTTCCTTTTGCTGTCATTTCATTGACCATTGCTGTATTTCAGGAATATTCTGTTTCCCAAAACCAAAAGCAGTCTCCTGTTCTTGCTCTCTGCTACACTGCTTAATCTGGACAAACCATAAATTGCAAGAATTAATATTTCAGGCTTAGTTCCAGAATGTAGTTCCCATACCTACTATAAGACAGCCAAGTGTGGATAGTTTTAAAGTTAAAAATAAGTAATAAAAAAGGGTGTATGAAGGCTGGGAAACCAGGTACCCCATTCCCCCTTTTCTGCCCCACTTTCCCAAAAGTGTTCCTACTAAATTCCTTCCATCCCCTTGGCCATCTTGGCTCCTGTTTGATTCAAGCTTTTTCTCTTGCACAGTTGTCTGTTAACTATATCCATGTTCTTTTTGTTCTTTTGTTCTAAATCCCTTCCTCACTTTGGCACCATTTTTTGTTTTCCCCTTGATGCCAGGAGGAGATTCCCAGTTGAGTTTATCCCTTAGAAAACTCAAGACTCTCAGAAATCTCTCTAGCTGTGGGAGAAGGATGACCACTTTCAGCTCCTGAAGTTCCACTGGCTGCATGAGAATCTCAATATATCAATATACATATATAGTATATAATCTCAATATATCTATATATATATCCAAAAGCCATCACATTTTTGTGTTTGCAAGGAAGAACTTGAGAATATAAAAGTTGAAATTTCTGTGGTCAATCAAGAACTGTCGGCAGTCTGTTTTAAAATACTAAAAAATAGAAAAAGTATCTGGAATGATTGTGCTTTTTGGTGTTCAGTGTTGGCAGCACACTTTTCTGCTTGTATTTACTGTGTGCAGTATTTTTGTGCAGCTCCTGGGTTCATTAGAAATGTCTCTAACACACATGTAAAGAACAGATGCCAGCTCAGAGTAACCCCTGTGGGAGCTGCCAGCATCCGTGGTGGCAATGTAAGAGGAGAGAGGAGCTGCCTGGATAAACAGATACTCTGTCAAGAACCCGAGGCACAGACAGGCTCTGGAGTGATGAATGTTTAATTTAACATTTCATCTGCTCCTACCCACGGTACGTGAACGGCTCAGAGTGTACAGCCTGCACCCAAACTGGTGGGATTTCTAACCTGGTTTTGTTGGCCTGCAGTGGCACACTGGTGTGCATTCAAGATGGCACATGACACTTTGTTCAAATGTGTCACCATTATTAATGATGTCAGCAGATGTAATTGCCAAGTTACTTAATACACTCAGAGTGCCATTGAGCCATTCACCTTGGAATCAAATAACTCTCACTTCATCTTATATACCTTAAAATGCAGATCTGCCCCTCCACAGTGATGCAGTAGTATTTATCAGAAGCATTATCCTCAAGTGACATCTCTGTGTGCTCCCAACAACTCCAGACCTGTAGTATGATAGAGACATTTCACCTTAGAGATTAAAATCCCCAAATTCCTCAAACTTGCAAAGCTTAAATATGTCCAACTTCAATGCAGCATTACAATCTTGGAGTTTTCTAACCACAATGGTTAGTCCTTATATAGCAATTGTAATAAAGGGAGCTCAAATTAAATCATAAAATTAATTCTGTATATAAAGGTTGGAAACCTGAAGCATTTGTTGTTAGTTCTTTATCACAACCTGGTGACAGGTTCAGAAGAACCCCTGTGTTTGTCCTGGGCTGCTGCTCTGTTCTCTCATCACTGCTGGCAAAGGGGAATAAAACTGTGAGAGAGAAGGCTGGGGAAGACAGATTTGTGTTTTAAGGCAGCTTGAAACATCTCACTGTAGTGAATGGAATTATGTCTTCCTGTCATTCACTGTGAAGCAGACACTTCTGACATGGTGTCAAGAGCCCAGGAGAAATTTGTGGAGATCAGGAGTACTTCACTGTTAGCTCAGCATTGGAGAAATCCACCCGTTAAGCACCTACCACTCTGTTCTCACCTTTGTAAGTTCACGAGTGTGATGTAATTGTCCTGGATTCAAACTCGTAAAATAGAGCAGAATTACATGATGACTGCCACTTTTGAAGTGATAAATGATAGTTTGAGGACAGAATCAGTGAAACTCATTCTTAGAGTCAGCCAATATCCTGAGGTGTCAGGGTTACAGAATAATGTGATATTTGTGTAAGCAGCACTGTTACCTTATATTTAAAGAAAATTTAATATTTTCCTCATAAAGAAAGCTGGTTGGTTAGGTTAGAAGCACATTAAGTTGTCATATACACACTGACTATCATTTAGTAATGATACATTTTACAAGCTAAAATTTTATTCAGGCCCTCTTTCCTTTCCCCTCAGGTATTGTCATTCCCCCTTTCCACTTTTCTAAATCCATCCATTTAAAGCTCCATTTTGTGGAGTCTGCTTCCTGTCACATCTTCAGCATATTTTCACTTGTCTCAGAGCTCTTCCTGAGCCATGTGTTTGTAGCCCAGATCTGCAGACAAATGTGTGGTTTGAGGGAGAAGATCAAAGCTGAAGGGGTCGATGGTGCCCAGTGCAGGTTGGGCACTCACCTGGGTGAGTGTTGATGTTTCTCTTGAAACAATTGCTCAGCATTCCCTGCCTTGCACATGGGCTTCCCCAGCTTATGAGCTGCTCTTTTAACACACAAAATCCCTCTTCCATTTCTTTTCACTGCTGCATTGGTATTTTTTGTACTTTTCCCTAGAACAGCTTTCCTGACTCTGCATCTGAGGGAGTATTTTAAGGTGCTAATTCCAGTGTTGGGTGCCCAGGAGAGCCTGGACTGTTGGGACACAGCTGTGCCCAGTGTCTGTGCCAGGGACCTGAGCGGGTCACAGCAGCCTGACAGGAACAAACTCAGGAGCTGACCTGAGTAAGTCATTGTAGAGCTCTCCTGTGGAGACCTTTGCAGCAGTTTAAATCTGTGATTTAGCTGGCATCAGCAACTCTTAAAGGTTTTATAGCTGACTGTCATGGAAACCTCCTGAAAAAGAAAATTAATACTTACAAAGCAGTACCACAACATAAAAGTTGCATTAAGTGCTCTTATTGATTTTTTCCTTCCATATTCTTGATTGCATAATAGAAGAATCCCTATTATTGTGTGCTATTGTCTTTGTGAAAATCAATGTGTTTGTAACATGTAGCCTTGACAGAGAGCATTTCTTCAGATCTAACAAAACTACAATGAAGGAGCCTTTTTCCTTGCCCCAGAGATGTCTTAAGATGTTTTACAGCTGCAGATTGGGTGTCTCGTTGTAGCTTCTCCATGGCTTTAACAGGGTGCAGGCAACTATTGGATCATTCCAGATAACTCAGGCTTCACAGATCAACTCCTTTCTCTGGAGTCTGCTATGTTCTGTCCCTAATATAACCACAATTTTAATTTTGTCCATTTAAAAAGTTTATTTAAAGTTGCAAACTTACAATCAGATTGTCAATTCATCCTTACTTTGTGTGATTTTTACCTCGTTTAAAAGCAGAACAAGAAGTTTTTTCCCCAAGATGAGAATGTTTCCATCTCATTTAAGCACGGATTGTGGTTAATTACAGATCTGCTGAAAACATCATTCCTTTTTTGCAGTTTTTTTGCAGGAGAGTTTCAAAAGAGAGGCAGTGATGTTTCTCCCTGCAGCACACAGATGTGAGAAGGGCAGGTCCCGCCTGCACACGACTGTCCTGATGCTCACAGCACCGTATTGCTTTTGCTTCCTTGGGACAGAGGATGAGAAAACACTGATATTTTTTTCCTAAATTTGATCCACAATTTGGCTTTCTCTCCAAGTCCTGAAGCTTCAATTATCAGAGTTTTCCATTTCCTATCACCTGTGCTGCTTTAGCAAATAGGGGGAGCAGGAGCAGAGGCAGAGCGGGAGCAGCAGGGCTGGAGCAGGAGAGCAGGGGAGCTTTCCCTGTCCTGCAGGAATTGCTTCGGCTGTTCTGTATCTTTAAGGGGCTGACCCTATCCCACGGGAGCCGCTATAAAGGCAGGTAGGCAGCAGTGCCCTGCTCGGGGAGCTGGAGCCAAGCAGGGGCAGCTCCCAAAAATGACTGGCCACCACAGTTGGGGATATGGGCAGGCTGACGGTAGGTTATGGCATTTCCGTGCTGCATCTCTCTGTCTTCCCCCACTCGTTTTCTTTCTAGAGCTGTTGCCTGAGCCCTGCAGAGCTGCCTGCATTTTGATGTCTGCAAGAATCGAGTATATACAGCAGGTAATTAATTACTTTATTGATAATCAATAGCACCCAGAAAGTGGCACCAAAAGGTGCGTGAGTTTCCATCTGCTGCCTTTCGGTGTTGTGATCAACATTCCTAAACTGAGGGAAGCAGTTTGAATGCTTTGGGGTTTTTTTTCAGACTGCAGATATTATAGATGGGTCCCTTTCCAAAATGCTGTTATAAAAAAGATTACCTGTCTCTCTCCAAAAGCGATTCTGTTAGGTAAAGAAGATTAAGTAGAGCAGTAATAGATCTCCTGATTCTGTGCAGCTGCTGAAATGTGATATCTAGGCTTTCATAAAAGCAAATAAAATAAGCTATATTTTATGTATGTCTGGTACATCAATAAATTGTACAGATCAGTATCAGATCTCTTACAGAACAACTTATGCTTTCTGATTTGACAGTTTTTAATTTAGTCCTCCTCCTTTGCTTCCCACCTCCAAGGATGCATGTCACAGCGTGAGGGGGGATGTGGAGCTCCTGAAGGATTGCCACAGGAGTGTTCTGTAGTGCCTGTATCCTTTACAGAGAGGATGGACGAGTGGCTGATGCTGGCCAATGAGACAATTGCATAACTTCAGGAGTCTCTCTCCTTGCAGCAGTTATTTTAGCTGCTGAGTGTCCAACAAGACTCTTTTGTATAACCTTCAGGGGCCAGCCTCTTTCTTAACAGCAATTCCTTTAGATTCTGTGAGTCTGAAAGCAAGTTTGAGTACCAAGTGAAGCTGGTTAGTGCTAGTAGGTAATATTATGTATTTGTGCTTGTAGCTGGGAGTAATAAAGCCATGTGTACTCTTATGAAGCTTGTGACAGCCAAATGATACTGCCTTAGCTTGTGTAAGAGCATTTAATTCCTAAATCTGCTTTACAGGCAGGCTGAGAAAAGATAATATTTTATAAGCTTAGCTTTGCAGAAAGTGTCAAAGCCAAGTAACAGTGTAATAGATCACTGTTGTGTTATGTAAACTCGAGGAGGCTAAATACCTGTGCTTGATTTAAAAAAAGCTTCCCCTTGTGAAAGTATGCAAGAATGCTACAATTAAAAATGTGCTTCTTGAGAATCCCAGAGTACAATTGTTACACTTCATGTACAGAAGCAGCAGAGGAATTTAATTGCTGCTTTCACTACCAAAGCAAAGTAGAAAAATGAACCATAAGAAAAATGAATTCTTTGACATGAATAAGCTTTTGTTATCTCAAATGGCTTAAAAATCTTCCAGCTCTGGCAGCAGAGTTCTGCTATTAAATTGGGCTTTCTTTCCTCTCTGTTGAGGTCTGGAAGTCCCAAAGTGTTAATTATCGTCTTGTGTCCTTCACTCAGGTTAGAGAGATACCATAATGGGCATGAGTGAAGAATGGAGCTGTCTCAAAGATTTACTGCAGTCATAAAATGATTTTAAAAATAACTGCATAGTCAGTAGCTAAGAGATTGAGTCATCTGCATCTAATTTGAATTGCTGGAGCTTTTACACTCTCTTTCCCAGGGAGAATTAAATGCTGTTTCTTTGGGGAGTGTGTTTGTGCATGTGAGTGTTTACACCTGTACCCACCTCAGAACACCTTAGAGAGGTAACTGCAGCCTCTGCAGAGAGTGGCACAAGTGACTGGGGATACAGCAGTCTGTTGGTGTGCCAGGATCTCCACGATGTGTTCTGGACAAGATACTCGAATCCCCATCTTGTTGCAGTCTGCTTGTGCTAATAAAAACACACCAGCCTAGAATTTAAATTAATTTTCTCACATTCCAAACATTGGAGTCACTCTTGCTGAGCAAGCTCTATTTCAAACCTCATGAAAACCCATAATGACCATTCTGTGTATGGTAGGAAGGAAATAATGCTGCTTTCCTTTGTTTGCTGTTGAAGGCCCTTCTGAGTGGCACAAAGCTTACCCCATTGCCCAGGGGAACCGCCAGTCCCCCATTGACATCGACTCTGCACGGGCAGTCTACGACCCCAGCCTGCAGCCACTTGTCATCTCCTACGAGTCCTGCACCTCCCTCAGCATCTCCAACACCGGCCACTCCGTCATGGTGGAGTTTGAGGACACAGATGACAGGACAGGTGAGACCAGCACAGCCAGCTAACTCCCAACACCAGTTTGGGACTTAGTGGGAGAAATAATTAAGTACATGCTGTATGGTGTAACTTCTGTGATGTATAATTTCAGCGTAGAACAAGGCATCTGACTGGAGCTGTTTATATTTTGTTCTCACTTTGAGCCTCTCTAGCAATGCAATGTCACAGATCAATAAGTGTTTCTTCATGGAAAGAAGGAAAAGCTCTTGCATCAGAAAAATGAGAAGTTTGATTGCAGTCCTTTTCTTTTAGATGAGAATTGAGGTTTGCTGGGCATCTCTCCAGCACTGCCAGATGACATCCAGCAGCCAGAGCAGGGATGTAAGCTCCTCAGTTCCCTGGTTCATGATCACCCCAGTCCAAGATGCCAGCTCTGGCAAAGTGCCCAGCTCCCACCCACAGGGAAGGGAAGAGGATAAGCAGAGCTGGGTCTTGCAGCACAGTCATCATAATCATAATCACTGCACCAAGTTGTACCTGGACTGGTCACTGTTACCTTGCATTTTCTTCTTTCCTCCCTGACTTGTAGCACTATGGTTTCTTCAGAAATTAGAAAATCTTTAGCTCAGTCTGGGCTCTGAGTTGGTAGCAGCCAATTTTGGATGTTGGACTGTCTGCAGTTGTACCTTATTCTTGTCTCAGCCCTTGGCACAGAATGTAAATCCTTTAAGTGATGGATTATTTCTTCTGTTAGCTCAGTTTCCATGATAGACTGTGCTTTTACATCTGGAGGTAGGGGAAGAGCATTCAAATGGAGCTGATAAATGGGAAGAGTGCATTAAAAAAACAAAACCAAACCGGAACAATTTTTACACCCATCAGCTGATTTCGTCCTCCTTTTGGGTGTGCTGATTGATGCAAGCTAAATAGGATACTTTGATATTGAAAACAAATTACTTCTGTGAAGTGGCTTGTCTGTGCTGGGAACCCTTTGAAATAAGGGCTAAAGGTTAATATTCCAGCTTTTTTGTTTTAAAATTTCCCTTCTGGATAATTTAAGATCCTGCCCAATGGCATGGCCAGGTTTTCAAGCATCATATCTTTACTGAATTTGCAAAGAAGGCTGGGTGAGCATTTTCCATTTTTACTGCACAGATCTTTTCAGAATGTCACCCTATAAATAGCATTTGTAAAACCTAAGTATTATCTTAGCTTGGTAACTACTTTAATGCAATTTTCAGCTGAACTGTATCTGTGTAACAGTGAACTTTATTCAGCTTTAGAAGTTTAAGAACATCTAATACTCTGCATTTAGAGATACCAACTCGGAGCACCTGCCAGGAATGAGACCCTTTCTACACTAAGCATGTCTTGTTTCAATAGCACTTTTTCAAGGCAGATGACTGCTAGGAGTGGAAAACATGGTTTAAACTGCTTTTAGTTGTGTTGAAATAGATCTAGTGACTCAAAGCTCTGCATAAATGACACAACAGAATTTTGACAGTAATCCATAATAGCTAATTTTCTTAAAATATTTGGGACAGGTGATGCATTCTTTTGCTAACTTTAGAAAAACGTACTAGAAGTATTTATATCCTTAATTGATACTAAAATCTTTGCCTTGGCAATGCCAGTTTTCTGCATAAAGGCCAGCTGGAAGCATGCACATGTAGTAGCACTGGGCAAGCCCCAGCTTTCACTTTTTAAATAATATGTTATGAACTGCACTGAGTATACAAGCTTTACAGATATTAAATGTAATTTTAATTTTCTTAATGTAAGACTCTGATCAGGTTTTGGTGTCTGCTGGGCAAAGTGTATTAGATTTGGTGGCATATAAAATTACAGGGATTACTGATGCTGTTGATAAAATACCTTCTATAGGTGGCATCTTAAACATTCATCTGTGCTTAGGTGTTATTTCTAAATGATGTATGAAGTGTCTCTGTGGCATTTCCTTACCTTCAGAAGGTGATTTAAGGTTGAGTGGTGTCATGTGAAGTACCAGCTATTATATTTCCTCTTTTATGGGATCAGGTATTTAAAGGAAATGGAATAAAGATAACCTCCACTGGAAGTAAAGATACTGTAAGAAGGAAATACTTAGCTGAATTGTCTACCTGATGTTCAGGGTATAAGGTTTCCTTGGAGGCTTCTCCTGTCCAGGCTGAACCATCCCAGCTGTGGCAGCCTTTCCTCCCAGCAGAGCTGCTCCATCCCTCTGCTCATCCTGGAGCCTCCTCTGGGCTCTCTGCAGCAGCTCCAGCTCCTTGCTGTTCTGGGCCCAGGCTGGGGCAGCTCTGCAGGTGGGGTCTCACCTGAGGGCCAGAGGGGCACAATCCCCTCCCCTGCTGCCCTCGCTGGCTCAGCTTGGGGCTCAGGGGGGTTTCAGGGCTGAGGCAGGGCCAGCTCTCACTCACAGCATCCCCAAGTGCTGCTCCCAGGGCTGCTCCATCTGTTCCACTTGTATTTAATGTGTTTAACAGGAAAGGCATAGCCATAAGGGTGGCTACCACATCTTCATGGGTCAAATATACACTTCCAAGAATGCTACAAATTCTATACAGGTAGCCACAGAGTGTTCTTAATTTACATTTTCAAATTAATTTAGGTGCTCTCCACAAATAAATCCATCCCTCTTAAATGCCTGAATGATGCATCTTTTTTGTGCTGGCAGCTGGGAGAGGCTGCTGGCTTTTTTCCACTATTGTGCCAACAGTGGTTAGTTTTACTAGGAGGAAGCTAAAAAAACCAGAATACTGAAGCTTTCTTAATTTTTTTTTTTTGTTTTTCTGCCCAGCAATCAGTGGAGGGCCCTTTCATAATCCATTCCGGCTAAAGCAGTTCCACTTCCACTGGGGGACCACACACAGCCAGGGATCAGAGCACACCATTGATGGAAAACCTTTTCCCTGTGAGGTAAGGGGATTATTTCATGCAAATCATGTTGTCATATGACTTTGTCTGCAGTGGGGCAGGATTAGGATTCTGATTCCGTGTTCACCATGGGTAGGTCAGCCTTCCCTGCCCTCCTCAGCTGGATGGGGAGAGGAAATACAAGGAAGGGTTTGTGAGTTGAGATCAGGGCAGGGAGAGCTCCCTCACCAGTTACTGACACAGCAAAGCAAAAAAATCCATTAACAACCAAATCAGAGTAGGATAATGGCAAATAAAAACTAAACCTTAAAACCCTTCTCCTCACCCCTCCTTTCCTCCTGGGTTTAACTTTACTCCCAGCTTTCTCCACCTCTCCCCCAGTGGTGCAGGGGGACGGGGAATGGGGGCTGTGCTCAGCTCATCCCAGGTTGTCTCTGCTGCTCCTTCCTCCTCAGGGGAAGGGCTCCTCACACTCTTCCTGTGCTCCAGTGTGGGGTCCTTCCCACAGGAGACAGTGAGCTCCATGAGCTGCTCCAGCCTGGTCCATCCCATGGGCTGCAGTCAGTCCTTCAGGAGCTGCTCCAGCCTGGTCCATCCCATGGGCTGCAGTCAGTCCTTCAGGAGCTGCTCCAGCCTGGTCCTTTCCTTGGGCTGCAGTCAGTCCTTCAGGAGCTGCTCCAGCCTGGTCCTTTCCTTGTGATCACGAGCTGGAGAAGCTTCTGGCAGTTTCTCACAGAAGCCACCCCTGTACCCTCCCACTCCCAAATCCTGGCCATTCCACCCCCGTGTGGGCTGTTACAGGAAACTTGCCTGGTTCCTGCCCACACTCATGGACCTGTCCAAAAGACTGAACTTCTTTGTGTTTCCAGCAATGACAAAAAATTGTTCTGTTATGAACAACTGTTAGCGCTGTCAATGAGAAACCACGTTCATAACTTCTATCATTAATTTAATTCTTATTTGTTATTTTTCTTTAAAGCTCCACTTAGTACATTGGAATGCCAGAAAATATGCAACATTTGGAGAGGCAGCAGCAGCTCCAGATGGCTTGGCAGTAGTTGGTGTTTTCTTGGAGGTAAGAATTGCAAAAATAGCATGTTTACATGATAAAAAGCATTATGCTGTAAAGTGTTTGAGGACTATGCCACATATTTAAGAAGTGCTTAAGGAAAACAGATGACTTGCTGGAAGCATTAATGCATTGCAAATTGCTGATAAACTTTGATAGGAATGTTAAGATTTGGGTAAGAAAACAACACCTAATTAAAGCACAGTTGTAGCCCTTCTTATTTAACCTATTCCATTCTTTTAGATTGGGAAAGAACATGCCAGTATGAACAGACTCACTGATGCTTTGTACATGGTAAAATTTAAAGTAAGTTCTATTTTCTTTAAATTTGCTTCTGGGATAGCCTTTAAAAATCATGCTCATGTACATTTTTGAGACAAAAATGAAAAACCACCCACCCACAGATCCTCCCATAACTAGAACATAACTGTAGTTGTAGTTTATTTTTCCCCTCCAAAGTTCATATTATTTCCTGATCTCAGGTGCCTCACTAGGCTGTGCTGACCCCACTGGTCATCCAGAGGTTCTGCCTTTCCCAAAAAGTCTGAAATCAATAGCTCCCTGACCCCTGAGACTCAGACTCAGAAAAATATTCCTTCTCCATTGAGCCTCAGCTGGCACAAGCTGCCTGTTTGTCTTTGCTGCAGAGCTCTGTCAGGGATGATCTCACTGAGGTCCTGAGTTTGTTCCTGAGGTGTTTTCTGAGTGACTGAGACCCTTTTGGATGCTCCTACAGGCTGAAGAGAGTTGGTCTACACTTGAGGCAATCACTACTTTAGGCAGCACCTCCTTATATTTCAACCAATCTTTTGGTTGATGTATCTTCCTTTATCAATCCACCTTCCTCTAATTTTAGACTTGAAGGTTTGATTTATTTTTTTTAAAGCAAATATTTACCATAGCAGACAATGACTATATGATTTAATTTTTCCTACTAAAATAGATGAGACAGTACTGAGGCAAGGAATTCTGCCATGATATTATCTATAGCTCACACCAAACACTATATACAGAACATACTTCCTGCATTATTTTTGGGCCTGTTGTGAAAAGAGATGAATTTTGATAGATACAATGGTGCAAGACCTCTAAGTCCAGTAAGCCAGCATGAGGCATCACACTTGCCATTTTGGCTAACAGTTATAAGGTAGCCAAACCTTTACAGACTTCTCCTTTCCCCTATTTTTAATGTTGCTTTAACATTTTCTTCTCTTTCAAAGAAGTTATTTTTTAATACTTAAAAGTAAAAGGATATATTTCAAGTCTATTTTCTTTTCCCAGGGAACAAAAGCTCAGTTTAGAGGCTTCAACCCTAAATGTCTCCTGCCCTTGAGTCTAGATTATTGGACATATCTTGGTTCTCTGACAACCCCACCCCTTAATGAGAGTGTAACATGGATAGTGCTGAAAGAACCCATCAGAATCTCTCTGAAACAGGTAAATTTCTGATACTCTCTCAGTTCTTGCAGCATTCAATGCTGGATAAGCAAGCAGACTGTTTTGATTTGAAATGAGGCTAAGTTAAAAGCCTGTGAATATTCAGCCTGTTCAATCCTCAGGGCTTCTGTTATTTTCTGTTAATACTCTTCTAGGACCTTTGCTTCAACCTATTCCATTAACTAATTAAAATATACCGAATATTTCCTTTTAGTCCTTAGAAAAAAAATTAAAAATTACTGTTGATTGCCCCCTTAAGCAGTGAATTGTTTCCCCTGAACTTCCAGCTGGAGAAATTCCGCATGCTGCTCTTCACTGGTGAGGAGGACCAGAGGATCCAAATGGCCAACAACTTTCGCCCCCCTCAACCCCTGAAGGGGAGAATTGTTCGAGCTTCCTTCAAGGCCTGAAGAAAACTGATAATGGTCCTGAGATATCCAAGAGCTTCCACATGTGAGATACTCTAAACTGAAACTCTGGTCTACAGACCACTCATGGAACACACAAGACAGGCATTTCCATGAACCATCTCCTTGGAGGAGGACAATCTTCCAGCTTTCTGTTTTATTTGAAGTGCTCATTCTTTGGAGAAATGGCATCTCTTTAACCAGCACTATTTAATATAAGGGATAGCTGAGTGAACTAGGTTGTTAACCAAGACCTGAAACTCCATAAAATTAAAATTCTATTAAAACTCAATCTGACATAAAATGGAAAATTGTGATCTACTACAGCCGATGGCCACAACCTCTACTTATCTCATTTAATACATGAGGAAACAGTAACCAAGAATTTTGGACAAATATGACTTAATTTTTCCTGATCTGTTTTACCATTTGCTGAGCTCTGATTTAAAGATTGCTTTCACTTTATTCTTGCTGCCTGATGACACAGAGTGTATGACTAGAAAAAAATTCTTTACTCACCTCAAGTAGGCCCTGGTATGAAAATTAAATATATAGAAATATATATTTTTAAATCTACTGTCCTAAGATGTTATCTTACAATGAGAAGTAACAATGTAATGCTGTGTTGAAAAGCAGAGCAGTTTACTGCAATGTTATTTAGGTATTTATCCTTTCAGCCCACGCAGGACACACGACCACGGTGCCCTGGTCAGGGTCAGTTTGGTTGAAGAGTTCTGCTGCAGTGATCCAGGTGTGTTTTGTGGTCCTCAGATGCTCAGATTCTACCTCAGCTCAGTGCTATGCTCTGCAATATGACCTCCTTCAGTGTCTGCCCTACAGAGAGCAGGTATTTTGTTTCCTTTAGGGAGCTAACGTGGGTAGATCTGCACTGCTGCACAGACCCTCCCTGCCCCAGGGCTGCCTGGCAGGATGCTCCCTGCACACACAAGTCTTCAGCGCTCCTGAGTCCTTTTACCTCTGCAAAAGCTGCTTTAGAACAGCCACGTGTTGGTTCTGCAGCTTAGTGACAAAATTCTGACTCTGGTACTCAATACTGTGATGTTCTCTGTGACTGCCCATAGTCAATTCCCAGCTCCTTCAGTTCTGGGCCTCACATGGCGTGTTCTGTCTGCCTAGTTCAGGGGGAAATTGCTGATGTTGATCACTTTCCATCAGCTGAGATGGAGAAATCAAAGATGTACAAGGCCAAGGAAGTGGGGAGAAGGAAGAACAGCAGCTGCTGTGGCTGCTCCCCTTTCTCCAGGGAAGGAAGACATGAGATGTGGAGCACAGTACAAGGAGTGAATGACTGGAATTCTGCTCCTCAAATCTCCATGGTTTTTCTGGTAGGCTGGCCTAAAACTTTGTTTCTCAGTTTCCTCTTTTGTAGGAAGAGGGTAACACTGACCTCTACCTCACAGGGCTGTTGTGAGGGCTAATTCAGCATTGTTTTAGATGTGAGACTCTTATCCAGCAGATGCTAAAGGCAATGAAAAATCCTTACGAAATGCAATGGTTTTAGCTATTATGAATGTATTATAAACTTTGCTAGTAATGCAAACTGGTATTGTAGAAACTCTAATGTATCTTAATTTCTTTAACAAATAAAATAAATGAGACTTTAAAATCACATGTGTGTATCTTCATCCTTTATTTTGAGAAGACTCACCTCTCCCTAATTACAGCATTATTTTTCTTGGATTTTCATTAACAGACATTGTTTGATGTTTCAATGGATGCATCTCTTTTGGATCAAGGAAAGCTTTGATTGTGTATCTTCAGTTCTACAGAAACCTTGCCTAAACTACTGTGGAATGATCTAAGTACAGATAAGAGTTATGCTTCTCAAGTTTGTGGGCATGTTTTAAAATTCTAGAAATTTTTTCTCTTTTTAGTCTATACCACAGCTCTTACCATCTTCTGGGATTAACAGATTTTGTTTCAGCTTAATCCTTTCACTTAAGTTCTAACATACTGTATACCTTGAATGACTTCTTGCCCAGAGTTAAATTACTATAATGACTTTTAAGTCCCTGTTAAAATTTACATGAAGAGATGCATTTTAAAATATAAGAAGTCTTTAAAAAAACTTTACATTTACATTATATTATTTATATATATATATATTAGGGGCAAATTTAAAATGCTTTTCTGATTAAAATAATTAAAATATAATAAATTTTATTTACCATATGTACCATACTATCCCACTACTGCTGCAGACAGGTCAAGATCAGTATTTTCCTCTCATTTTAGGCATAGGTGTAGGTGCTCCCTGTTTCTCACAGGAGGTAAAGAGGGCTTGTGAACCTTGTCCAGTTTTCCCCAGCTCCAGCCCCTCAATCTAAAAAACAGTTTATTTATGCCCAGAATGTGTCTGTGCTGTGACCTTGCACACAGTACTTAAGCTTCTTTGAGGGTGGTTTATTCATGAACAGAAGAAGGATAATGTTTAGCTTACATGGCTTTTGTAAAAGCTCAGCCATTGCAAAGAGCTTTAAATGCTGCATTGCCCCAAGGTGTTCAGGTCCAGGGAGAAACTGAACTGTACCTTCCTGCAGAAATAAATTTGATTTTGCTTACAGGGTTGTTTGGGATTTCTTTTTCCAGTTGTTGGATGGAAGAACATGATCTACTTTTTACCATGGAGAAGTAAAATATAAAAGGAAGATGTTATGAACGAACTCAAGAGAGTGATGCGTTAAAAAAATTTTATTAATTACAGCAAGCAAGCAATAAGCAAAAATCAGCGCTGGGCGGCAGGGGAGTCTCTGCTCCATCCACTTTTATATTCTTTGTTTCTTGAGACCCTGATTCCCCAATAAAAACCCAAAAATAGTGTATTGATTTAATGCACTTCATTTATTTTGAGATTGAACGATTCTAAAACATGAGCTACCCTTATCTTTTACCAAGTTGTTGTGTTGAAGGAGAAGTGGAAGTTGACTGTAATTATTCCAGCAAGAATTCACTTACCTTCTCCTGGGATTGCAGCCATCCTGAGGGAGAGAACAGAGGCCTCACATTCAGGACAGTGACTGAACTTGTGCAGCAGGAAAAGCTGGATTAAAAATGCCATCTAGTGGCTCTCCTTCCCTTTCTTGCCACAATGCTTAAAACAATTGTTAAGGGAAATTCAGTCAAAACACAACAAAGGAGAGAATTTAACTCTGACAACACTAATTCATAAAGATATGAGTGATTGTCATTGTAAACCTCTTACTGGCTCTGTTTATGCAGTCATTGAAACTCCCTCAGGTAAAAATCCATCTGATAAAAGAAATTCAATAATTTTTGTTCCTCATTTCACTGCTGAGCAGAGAGATCCTCTGCTTGGTGAACTGCACACTCTCTTAATTTTAGCTTTTAAACGTTAATAGCTCTTGTTACAGTTCAGCTTTGGGGTTTTTCCCCAATCTCTTGCAAGCAGAAAACATTTTTAGGCAGTTTCCATCATACAGTTGCTATGATGTAGCAGATTTATAACAATATGTTTCATGATAAGGATAAATTAATCCAAATACAAGAATTGGGGAAAAGTTTTGCAAGGTACCTCAACACCAGATAGTGTTTTTGGCAGAGTTCAAAGGTCAGAAAGATAAAGAAGGGAGCATTCCAGGAAAAAACAGAGATAAGCCTGAAGAAAATGGGGTGTTATCTTAAACCTCAGTGTGTAGCTGCTTTCCTCTGAATTCCTCTGCATGCAGAAGCAGCCATTTAGTAACAGCACTGAGCATCACTCTCTGCTCTGCCTGGGAGAGCAGGGTCTCACACTTTTTCTCACTTACCCTGAGGAAAGCACAGCAGAGGATGAAACCTGACTTGCACAGAACTATTTCCAACTTGCTCAGCTGTAAGGCAGGGAACTTTCACTCCTCTGATGTTCCATTTATGTTGCTATCTGCACTGCACTTGAAATATAGTAAAATTTCAGCCCCTTACTCCAGGTTGTGAACAGCAACATAGTAATGCAAATAATTTAATTTCATATCAACACAGTGGAATATTAAATACAGCAATTTAGGAGCCAGCTCACCCTTTTTGTCTGTTGGAGGAGGAGAAGGTGGAAGGAGGTGAGGAAAGGAATATAATCACTTTTTACACATGAACACTTCTTCCCAAGCCACAAGACTTTCCTGGACTTGAAATTGGTCTTGGACTGACCCCAAGAAATGTAAATTTAATTTTCAAGTGGCACAGAACCTTAATGAACATTTTTTTGTTTAACTTAAACCAATTTTTAAGCACCATCCAATAAAAATGATCCATATGGCATTCAGATCCCATTACAGCAACTGGAAAGACCTTTGCACCAGTGCAATTACTTTGACTTAAACTGGGTCTTCAGATTAACCCCTTCAGATTAACCCCTTCCAGACACTGCCTAGCCTCTGCTGCAACAGGAAAGGCTAAATGAAGCTGGAGAGCTGGAATGGCACCTTTCCTGCAATTGTTCATGGTGTTTACCTCTGTTCATTGATGTTTCTTGCCTTCTTTCCTAGCATTTGAGGGTTTGGTTTAGATTACTTAGGAAGATCAGACTGGAAACAGCTGCAACCAAACCAGAAAATGCACTTGCTCTAACATACCTAGAGCCTCCTTCATTTTTCTGCTTGTTTGTTTATAGTAAGAGACTTCTGCATCTGCGGTGCCAATTTGCCTTTTGTGAAAATGCAAAATTTCTTATACAGCAGAAGAAATGTCTGTCATGATTCACAGGGCAGGATACAGCCAGCAAACAGGTGACATTCTTAAAAGTGCTCAGCAGGAAAATGTTTTGTGGGCTGGTGCTGTTTCCTTTCCAAAGCTGGTTATTAGACTGTAAAGTTTTTTGTGCAAAAAGCACAAAATTTAGTCTGTGTTCACTGAGATGGGCTGGAGAGACAGTTTGTTCAAAGGACCCACCTTCCTCTGCATGCCCAAAAGTTTCCAAAGGGTTTTTATTCCTCACTGTTTTCTAATCTGTATCAGATTTGACTCTGTAGGTTGAGTCTCTTTATTGC